CCTTTGCTTCCCTCCACCACTCCCCAGTGCTTGTGGTTTCTGTGGTCTTTGAACTGTCTTTGCACAATAAAACCTTAATCCTTGGCAAATGCCTGTAGTCTCAGCTGCTCGGGAGGCTGAGGCAAGAGGATTGCTCAAGCCTGGGAGTTTGAGGTTGCTGTGAGCTATGATGCATGGCGCTCTAGCGTGACTGAGTGAGACTCTGTCTCAAAAAAAGGAAAGGAAGAAAGGAAGGAAAGGAGGGTGGAAGGGAGGGAGGAAGGGAGAAAGAGGAAGAAAGAAAAAGAAAGAAAGAAAGAAAGAAAGAGTGTGTGCTTTTCAAACTTTAGATTCATAATCCCTAATTCAAGACGTTATGCTTTGTGTGGAAGGAGATGGAAGTAAGGCAATGCCATGAGTCTACTGTAGGCTCTGCGGCCTCCTACAGGACGCTGAGGCAGAGCCCCCAAATCAAACACCTTCATATTTCTGCTGCTAAATGAATGGAAATTCACACTAAATAGGATTTTAAAAAGAAATTACAAATAGATCAGTTCAGGTCAAGGCAGCCTTTGCCACAAAAGAGTAAGCAAAACTTCCCATTTGTCGGGTTGCTGGATTTAGAATTGAGAAAAGACTGTGGACTGTTTAGAGCACCTTCTTATCAGACCACGTGTGTGCATTTATGTGAACTATTGTTCAAAGAACTCAGGTGGTCATACAGTCATAGAAGAAAGTGGCCAAAAGACAGAGATGAAGATGGCCTAATCTCACAGTGTAGTGACAAACCTCAATGGCATATGGTATTGAAGGGGACAAGTTTGGGGTCACAGACCTAGTCCCAAATTCCTGCACTGCTCTTTCCTACTTATAAAACCTTGGCCACGTTACCTAAGCTCTCTAAGCCTTACTGGCTTCATTTATAAAATGGAGAAAATAAATCTACTTGTTAGGACTAAATAAGATAATTCATCCAGAATGCTTATTGGATCATACGATCAGAAACCACCATTATTATTATGTCTACTAACTGGTACATAGAGTTGTCCCTCAGTGTCTATAGAGGATTGGTTCCAGGACCTCCTACAGATGCTAAAATCTGTGGATGCCAAGGCCCTGATAAAAATGGTGTAACCCATATAACCTATGCACATTATTCTATATACTTTAAATCATCTATAGATGAGTTATAATGCCTAATACAGTATTATTAATAATATAAATAATTGTTGTATTGTTTAGAAAATAATAGCAGAGGGAAAAGTCTGTATGTGTTCAATACAGATGCAATTTCTTTTTTGAACATCTTCTATATATGTTTGGTTGAATCCAGGGATGCAGAACCCGCAGATACGGAGGGCCGACTGCGTTTGTTTTACAGGATCAACTTTGAAAAAGAAAAGAGATACAGAAGGAGAATGGGGAAACACACTTGAGACTTCTGTTATCAGTTTATTGTTTAAAAGTTTTTAAAAATTTAATTTTTCATGGGTAAAATTAAAATTATTATTTTAATTCTAGAATCGCTGTCATTGAATTCTTAGGGAAGGGAAAAATATTTGCTGTCAATATTTACACCTGCATGAGACTTTATCCTATGCCTCTCCTCTTACCCTAATCTGCTTAATATGCCTAGGATATTCTAGAGAGTTTTCTTAAAGCTTTACAAATTTGAATTTGAAACTGAAATAGTTCTCCCAGCCCCCCAAAATGGATACATGCCACCTAGTGTTTTCCTGGGTTGCTTCTGTAACCCAGTGGGCATGTTATTTCTCTGTAATCATAAATTCTGTACAGTCAGCATTAGCATCATAAAAGTTATCACTATATGTCATAAAATCAAAGCAGGGCGTGACAGAGCCTTTCAACTCTGTAAGCTTTGCAAACATGGGTTCTCATATGTGCCTGGATTGCACAAGGACCCTGAAATGTGATACTATACAAAACCACACAATTGTACTGCCTTTCATGAAAAACAGCTGAGTTGGTGGGTGACCATGAGAACTGGAATGCAGAGCCCTCTGTTTACATTCTGCTGGGCCTTGGATTGCTGTGTGGCCATCAGCAAGTCACTGAGCTTTCCTGAATCTCTGTGACCTTACACATAAAGTAAGGATTATAGTGTCTACCTTACTGAGTCTGTAAGCAATAAATAAGATGCCACGGAAGATGTTTCATAATCTTAAAAAGCAAAAAGCCTGTAGATTTCTTCTCCAAAAATCTAATTGATAGGCCCAATCAGAGAGGAAAAGGTATGATTTGAGGGATTGGCTAGGCCAATCAGGCCTGAGACCTGGTGCCCTCAAACTCTTCTTGCCTGTTTTCTGCTCAGTAGCACAAGATTGCAGGGATGGAGTTGGCAACACCTCTGTAAGCTGTACTTTTGGAGTTTTTCAGCCTAGAAGTAGTGGTGGCTGTCTGCTGTTGTTAATTTCTGGGCTGTCTCACTGTCTCCTTTTAGATTCTTGGTTCTTCCACTCTTTGTAGAGCCAACTCCCTGCATTGAACTCTTTATAAATACTTTAAGTGGTTTCTGTTTCCCTTGTTTGACCTTGCCCAATATAGTAGTTTCAGGAAAATCTCCTGCCAAAAGAATTTTCCTGATATTAGATGCACCATTTGAAAACTATTCCATTTGGGTTCTTTTCCTTAAAGACAGAGAGTAATATGGACTGCTACATAACAGTAGGTTTTGTTTGTTTGCTTATGAGATGGAGTCTCACTCTGTCACCCTAGGATTGAGTGCCATGGCTGCGTCATAGATCACTGCAACCTCAAACTCTTGTGATCCTCATGCCTCAGCTTCCCTAGTAGCTGGGACTACAAGTGCTTATCACAACACTCAAGTAATTTTTCTATTTTCTAGCAGAGATACGGTGTCCCTCTTGCTCAGGCTGGTCTCAAGTGATCTGCTCATCTTGGCCTCCCAAAGCTAGGATTACAGGTGTGAGCCACCATGCCTGGCCTACACAACAGCATTTTCACAGCTTTTATGTTGTCCTTTTATTTATCCATCCATCCGTCCGTCCATCCATCCATCCATTTGGCCAGTATTACAATAACACTATATTATGTATTAGGAGCTGAGCTGAGTGCTGGGCACACACAGATAAACTAGACCCTCAGTGTGTCAGGCTGGGTGATTTCAAGGAGTTCCCACTCTACAGCTCGGAAGGGCAGAGTGCATTTATTTGGGAATCAGGGTGATACTTTGAGTTAGGTGTCTAGTGCTGTGATTTTCACACAATATCAGCAAAAGACAGTTATCATTCCCATTTCCACTTCCTACCTCCTGCCTCATTCATAAGTGAAGTGGGCTGGATGGGAAATATTATAACCATTCCACAGACACCGAACCTCACACAGGGCAAGTAGCCAGTGAGCAGTGGGGTCTGGAGTCTTTTTCACAGACACCACAGCCAGGCACTGACTTGTTTCTTCACTTTATGCAGACCCCATCCATGCTGTGAAATGCAGGCCTGGGGGAGGGGGCAGCAGAGAGCAGGAAACCCTAGTTCTGGTCCCTTCCTCTCCAAGTTGTCCTCAAACCGCCTTTCTCAGCCACAGAGTTACTCATCACTGAGCTCCTTTTAATCTTAGGTCCTTTGAGTGTCAAATCAAGGCTGGCTCACACCTCACACATAGTAAATGTGCTACTATTTCACAAATGTGCTGGGAAGGGAAACCAGCACCTGTCCAGTTGCCCTCACAAGGTTATTGCAAGCCCACCTGAAACGATGCTTTCAAGATGGCAAACACCTGTTTTAGGTCCCTTGTTAATCCACCGTGGTCAATGTATGCCAAGCATAGCCCAGTCCCATCAATAGTTTTATGTATAATTCAAGTCAGTTGTGGAGACTCAAATAAATGATAAAACAGAACATAAACGCCACGGTGTAGAAGACAGAAGTGTGACACTGTGTCACCTTACTGCACAAAACCCCAAACCTTGTTTTGTTTCAAATCTTTATTGTAATTTCTTTAAGCATGTACTACATAAAGGCAGATAAAAGGGGAAAATTAACAAGGATAGCGAACGTTTAGCCAGGCAGCCTCCTAACCCTTCCTACCTATTCCCAACCTTACCTTAATTTAAACCACACACAGCAACTCTCAGAGGGTGGCATAGTCATCACCATTTTACAGATGAGGGAACCTAGGCACCGAGAGGGTATATCACCCTCTCAAGGACACACAGCTAGCAACTGGTAAGACTGAAGGTCTGTAGAGTACAGCAACAGCGCGTCTGTGTATATTAAAAAACCTGGCCGGCTCCACAGGCAAACCTGGCACGGCTGCCGCTGGCAGGAAGTTAAGTGTTAAGAAATGACTTCACATACCTCTGACTCCACCGCAGCCACCTTTGACTGAAGTCATAACTTGACCGCCGGTGCCTTTCAACACCTATCTGCTATCACCAAGGTTGTTCTTTCTTGCCTCCTTTTCCACTTTTACTTTCTCAAGGCAAAGGTCATTAGCTGGGGTGATTAGGGTAATGATGCCTGAGGAACGGCGAGCTCCTCTTTTTATGTATTACTGCTTCTGTGCAAAACTGGAATGTTGACTTAAAATAATGATTTTTTTAATACTATTTTCAAGAACTCATGTAGGAAATTATCACGTCCAAGGGAAAGCTAACCCTGAAGAGCCCGGAAAATGAAAAGTGATGTGTCTGCGAAAACAGTAGCAGGAATTTTTTTAAACTTTTTCCCCCCAGAGGCAGTAATTTGACTGCTCTCTTTGGCAAAGCTCCAGAGACAAGGCCAAGTGCTTAATCTCTTTCTCTTTCTCTTCCCCCGCCTCCTCCCCGCCACCTTTCTGGCCCCCGGGGCGGAGGGGAGGCGGGACCCGCGATCCGCTGCTCCGGCCGGAGGAGCCGCACCGGGGCGCGGGGAGGGGCGCAGGGGCGGAGGGGCCGAGCCGAGGAAGAGGAAGTCGGAGCCGAGCCGGAGCCGGAGCCGGAGCCCGACAGCGCTGCAGGGCGCTCCGGCCGCGGAGCCGGCGCACCCGCACCTTCCCGGCCGTCCGCGGTCGATCCGGCCCCAGCGCGGGAGCCGCCCCTCTCCAGGTAAGCGCGCCGGAGCCCGGGCACCCCGGGGTCTTTCCCAGGGGGCGGACAGGGGACCGGGGACGCGGCCCGGCGCCCCACAGCCGCAGGTGGGGTGGGCGCAGCGTGCCGGCGGGCCCCTCCTGGGATCGGGCCGAGGGTGCTAGGGAGCATTGCGCCGCCGGGGATCGGGGTGAGGTCGGGCTGGGGGGTGCTGCCCGCCGCCACAGCCTCCTCTCGGCTCCGGGCTCCGGGTCTCCAAGTCCCCGAGACCCCGGTCCACGGCTACAGAGACTGCAGCGTTTGCTGCTCGGAGAAGGAGTTTCAGCTCACACCCAGGAGTGTTAGCACCCCACCCCCACCCCCACTCAACCCGAACAGTCCGAGGACAGGACCCCACTGCCAGCTACCCTGAGCTGGCTCCCCACCTGCGGGCCGGAGCGGGGCCCCCAGGACCCGGTGACCCGCGGAGGGAGGCGGCTGCCGCGCAGCTGCGGCGCACTGGCCTTGGGAGAGCCCTGCCCTTGCAGAAGCCGGCGTCGGTGCCCCAGGTCTGCAAAGACGCTTCTGTGTGTGTGTTGGGGCGAGGGGTGTCCTGGGGAGGGAGGTAGAGAGCCTGTGGTTCGTCTGTCATAGAGGCAGCTAGTAACTAACACCAGATCGGCTACGACTTTGCCGGCGGTTCTGGCCTCTGAGGCAGCCGGGACCCGCGGCTGATGCCGGATCCCGCCCCCTCTTTGTGTCCTCGCTGGTTAGTCCTGTTCCTAAGCCAGAAGCTTAAGGACACCGTGATTCGATTCTGAAAGAGTTGTTAAGCTGTTCAATTCATTCCGTTCCTCGGAAACAATGAGCTAGATCATTTGTTTTAATGTGCCGGCGGAGTCTTGTTTGCAAAGCCAGTATTTCATCAAGTTCTGGTCCTCACGGCTCCCTCTGTACCACCCTCAGGTGGCCCAGGCTACTGCACTTATTTTTGAAATCATTGACTGGGTGTCTGGGGGCAGCGTGGCTCTGAGAAGGCGGTGTCCATCTCCGAGTGAGGGGTGGTTTGGGGTCTTGAACGTGTTGGATACAGAGCTATCTCGTGTTTCTTGTTTAAATCGGGAAAAGACCAGAATGTTAACTCTAGTTTAAGTTTGTCACCTAACAGAATTCCGGGCCTGGATAGATCGTGTAATGCTGTAGAAAATAGTTATCAAGTAGTAAAACCGGCACTTGCTGGCATCTCAGATTCTGTAGTTGGCATGCTTTGAAAGAATTTATAGATTTCGGATTTTGATTAAAACGCCATGAAAACATTACCAAGCCTGTCATTTCGGGGGATCAGAAAACTCCGTCCAAACTTTGGCTTTGCCTTCCGGAACTTGGGCAAGTTACTCAGTGCCCCCCACCCCTTCCACCCAGCGGTATTTATAGGTCCAAGGGATGGGTTGATGTTCGGCTCTCACATCTTTGAGTCTGGCTTCCCAATTCCTGACTCAACTTTTTGTCCTATTTCAGGCCCCATATCTAAGCCACCAACCCCCCTGGCTGAAGATAGATTTTCTCCAGAGTTCTCCCAGCTCCCTGGCTTCACCCTTAAGCCATCAGCAGCATGTCCCTCCTTAACTTTCCTTGTCCTTTTTATTGTAGCCCCTCCCCAGCTTCTGCTATAAATGGCAAAACGAAGTGAGAATTAAACAGTTATCTGGCAATCAGATCTATGCCCTAATTCTGCTTTTCCTTGATAGCAATTTCCTAACTCATCTCCTTCCCATGGACACCAGCTTCCTTCATTGCCTCTGATACAGATGGCTATCACCAAACACAGGCTTAAATATTTCAGTGGGGGATTCAACCTGTAGTTTAAACAAATTTTTTAAACAAATCAATAGGAAGTGGCAACATCATTTTCTGAAACCAAGAATAACCAGAACTATTTTGTTCTCCCGTGTTGCAGATTTTTTTAGTAATTTAATTAAGATTTAATGATTCATGGTGTGTCACATAAATGCTCAAGTAGCACTAAATCTTTTGAGCCTTTAGTAGACTAAAAGCAATTCCTGGATCTATACTCTGATTCTTAATGGGTGAAATCCACGTTTTGCAGGTTTCTTTTTCTCTCTGCTCTTTTCATTGCTGGTAGTTGGTCTTTCAAACAATTGTCATCTTTTAATCCTCCTGCAGGGATGATTAGATCCCTGGAATTTTTTTTTTTTCAGGTCTTGCTCTGTTGCCCACACTGGAGTACAGTGGCACAATTGTAACTCCCTGCAGCCTCAAACTCCTGGGCTCAAGTGATCCTCCCACCTCAGCCTCCGCAGTAGGTAGGACTACAGGCATGCACCACCACACCTGCCTGATTTCTTTCTTGTTTGAGCAATGGGGTCTCTTTATGTTGTCAAGCCTGGTCTTGAACTCCTGGCTTCAAGCAACCCTCTGACCTTGGCCTCTCAAAGTGCTAGGGTTTCAGGCATGAGCCACACACCACCACCACCCTAGTCAATCCCTGGAATATGAAAGCTAGGGTGGCTCTTGGATGATCTAGTCCAACCCCTACATCTTAAAGATTTAGAAAGTGTGAGTGGTTAAGAACAGCGCTCTGGAATTAGCATACCTATGTGTGGTTATGGGTATGAGGGTTGCCTCTGTATCTCACATTAGCTCTGAGACCTTCCCTTCTTTAAGGTAATTATTTAGACACAGATTATTTTATAATTAGAGAAAGTAACAATCATAGTAATCATAGTTGATATCTATTGACCTCTCTCTCTCACCTTAACCTCCAGAGTTGTTCTGAGGATTAAATGAAATAATTCATATTAATATTTGACACATACAGTGTGCTTTGAAAATGACTGTTGTCGGTAAGCCAAGTCCTATGAGTGATTCTACAGGAAGTTATATGTAGCTCTCGATTGACAGGACTGTAGTTTAACTCAGGTTTACTTCTTTCCTCCTGCACTGCACTACCTAGAAATGGTGGCTACATGGAGATGTATTTTTAATTAAATGTGATGGTGCACTTTTTAAGAAAAAAAATTGCTCTCTTTTGACTTAGTCAAAATAATATGGTTTCTAGTGCAACGTTCATGTATTCAGGCAGGGATGGGAATGGAAACGTTTTCTAGACAAAGACTCTCTAAGCAACCTCACACTTGTGTGTGGCAGGCATTACAGATATTAATGTTTCAACACAGTCCTGCATCAACCTTGCTTGATAAAGCAAAAAGCTGACCCCAATCCATTTGGCTATTTAGAGCCATGGATGGGCATCTGTGCCAAGCAGAACTTACTGATGGAAGGGCCAGCTTTCAAGTGATTAAGAGATGCAGACATATTTAGCTTTTTATTGCCCATGCTAACAAAAAGCAACAGATGCTTTAGCAAAGACGATAGAAATATATGGCTAATCACCCTAGCGATGGAGCCTGGGGTTGTTAAGAATAACAGGGCTGTAGGATAACTAGGTGCTGCAGAACAACCTCAGGAATGCCTGGGTGACTCTCGTTTCAGATTAGTAGTTGACTGTATTATCTAGAATAGTTTTCATGTTTGCGTCTAAGTATCTTTTCAATCTGTAAACACAAGGTTACCAAAAAAACTTTTCCCCATGAGATACAAGCCAAGTAAAAATTTCCAAACCTAAACATCTTTCTTTGGTAAATACTGAGTTACCATTTGATAGAAAACTAAATCTCCCTTTTTTTTTTCTCTTCTTTTCCTTTCTCCATATGGTCCTAGAGGAAAAGCAACTTGAAGAGTGTTAATGTTAGGCTAAGTTTTAGAAAAATTCCAGCTACGCCCACTTGTAATAACCTGATGGGAGGAGAGTCAGGCTTTTCCCCAGGTCTTTAATTAAGAAAGTTGTTTTGGTAAGCTTTAATAACCAGGGTGCTGCGGCGTCTACAGAAGCCTCTTTGCACCAGCAGTAGGAGGGTCAAACCGTTACCGCATTTGGCCAAAAGCTAGCAAGCCGTTTTACGTGGAAGAAGAACATCTTTTTAAAATATCAAAGAAAAACATTAGAATTCTCATAAGAGGAATCATTGAATCCTTAAAGTATCATAAATGAGCTCTCACATTTGAAATGGTAGATGGATCTAGTTCTCTCTGTCTGCTCACATTGAGCACCAACTTAAATGGCCTGTGGCTGAAAGACAGGGAATAGGAACATGAAAAGCTCTAGATCAGGCAGCAGACCTTTCCCCATAAAAAGCCAGGTGGGTCCATGTATGACCCTGGGACATATTTCTTGATTTTGGGGGTGGGGGTTGCTTATTCATTTCAACCCTTTAAGAATGGGAAAACCAATCTTTGGTCGTAAGTCATACAAAAACAAGCAGCAGGCTGGATTTCCCCTGCAGCCATAGTTTACCAGCTCCATTCTAGTTGACATACTCTGTAGTATTCTTCGGTATTTTCATGGACACCCCAAATGGCAACGTTCACAGGCTCTATCTCAGTGGACTCGATATGGACTGACTGAAAATCAAAATCTCTTTGTCACTCTCTTCTTCAGTCAGTCCTCTGTATTTTCGCTTTACACTGGGGTTAGAAGTTTCCATTCAACGTTGCAATCAGTTGACCCAGGAATGGCAGGCCAAATGTCAACATTCTGCCTTTGGTTAGATGCTGAATGGGGAGAAGAGCTTGGCTGGGTTGTAATAAAGCCCATTTTACAGCAGATCATTGATGACTCATATGAAGTGAGGTCTAAACCCCAGAGCATGACCCACAAAGTCCTGGTCTCTACTCTTTCCTAGCACCTTCCATGGATACCCTATGTCCCTGCTGTCCAGAATAACGTGCAGAGCCTGGGTGGTCTGTGTTCTCTCACCAATGGTGGGATCCTTCCACACAAAGCTTAAATATCTATCTCGTCCCTGGACCCTTTCTTCATCTTATCGGACAGAGATGCAAACACCTCCAGCTCTATGTTTGCACAAGAGCTTATGCATGGAGCACTTGACGTCCAAAGGAATGTGATGATGCCCCTTGGACAACTATTACCTTCCAAGGATGGGGGAACAATTTTCTTC